ATACTAGACCTGACATAGCATATGCTGTGAGTGTGATACGTCAATTTATGCATAGTCCTAAAGAAGTACACCTACAGGCTGTCTACCGTGTACTACACTATTTGAAGGCTAATCTAGGGAGAGGTATCTTGTTTAAAAGAAATTCAGGGTGGGTGCTAAAGGCATATACAGATGCTGATTATGCATGTTCAGTAACTGACAGAAGATCTACCTCAGGCTACTGTAGTTTTCTAGGTGGTAATCTTGTAACTTGGAGGAGTAAAAAACAGAATGTGGTGGCAAGATCAAGTGCTGAAGCAGAGTTTAGGGCAATGGCTCAAGGAATTTGTGAACTACTATGGTTAAAGATTATCCTAGAAGACTTGAAGATCAAATGGAGATAAGGGACCAATAAGACCTTACTTGATAACAATCTGCCATAATAAACATTGACCCAATCCTGTGCAACATGATAGAACAAAACACATTGAAGTAGACCAGCCACCTTCATAAGGAAAATACTAAACAGTGGATTTGATTTCCACCCCATATGTTATCAACCAAAGTGTTCAACTTGCCCAGATGTGTTGACTAAAGGCCTCAACAGTTGCAACATTTCATGAAATTATTTTCCAAGCTGGAATGGGAAAACCAACCTATTCACCAGCTTTGAGGGGGAGTGTGCGGAAAAACATGTTAGTTACAATTGGTATTTTGTAATCTGCTGATTGTTAATCTGGTAATATAATCTGTATCCCTAAAATGAGGAATTTGTATCTCTAGACATTTAAGGACAGAATATCAGGATAGACCAATTCCTTGATATAAGGATTAGGATTAGGAATATTTAAGTTTCCCTAGTTTACTCTCTAGTTAGTTGTATTTAAATCTATGGTGTTTGTATGATTCGATACACAAGTTTTTCAATATACTCTCATTTTTCATCATACTCTAATCCCAAAGTAATTCTACCTTACTGTCATTCTCAATTACTTTTAAAAATAAATATCCTAGTAGTTATTAACTATGAGGATCAGTTAGCATGCCGATAATGTAGTTTGAAACGGCATCAACAGATATGACCCATTTCTAACTTCTAAGGAAAAAGGAGCGCAGTGGTGAAAGAGCAAACAATCCAATTCTGGAAATTATTTTTCCAAAACTGAAAAGTAATTGAGTGAATAACAATGAGAAACAGGAGATGCCTGCTAACATTATCCTGTGCAGAGGAAGACTTTTCACTCTCACTCATCAAATCTGCCTCTAATGCAGAGACTCTGTTCCTAATTTCTTCCTGTAATGAAGTCCATTCCAATGCTATATCATAATCCATAAAACGATGATAAAAAACAAAGGAATACACAAGAAAGAAAAATATCAAGTTCATAAAGAACACAAAAAAAAAGCAGTAGACTCAAGCACTGCTCAACTCGAGCTAATCCAACACACCTTAACTCCAAGTTGATGCTCGTGAGTTAATTCAAATAAACCACTCTCCACCAACCCCACCTCATTCATCAAGTAAGTTTGGACTTCAAGACATGGCTCATTGTCAGAATCACTATTGCTGCCATTGAAAGTTAACATTTTTACAAGAAAACCATGAAAAATTATCTCCTTGACTGTGCATTCAAATGAAAATCTCCATATTTAAGAAAATTAAACAAATGGGTTAGTATAATCCCATACCTAAAATAACATTCGTCGCAATTAAAACGTGTAGCTTTCACTAAACCTCAATCATGAACCTCCTCAGTCACACATTCACTATCCTCAAACTCCTCATCAGATATTCTCATTACAAATGCATTTGGGCTTCTTTTGATGCCTTTTTCCCCATAAAATTCTGTTTTTTTTCATAGATGAAAAGAACAAAGAAAATCTGCTTAATTCTACTGATACAAAACAGAAAATTCAAAGGTGAAAAAGAGAACAAAAAAAGAAAATACCTTGATTTGGTTTTTCAAAAAAAGGCAAAGGAACAGAAAAAGAGACATTGAGCTTCTTTTCCAAGGAATCAAGCTCCGATAACAAAGCATCGAAACTCCAATCTGAGTCGAGTTCAAGGCCGATCCCTTAACGGTTTGAGGGCACCGAATTTCCAACTTAACAGCTCCCCTGATATGTCATGCATTTTATAAATTAAATTAGCAAAAAAAAAAAAGAAAAAAAAAGAAAGACCACAAATTGAAATTCAAAATAAACACAAGAGAAAAAATTTTAATTTACATTGTGAAACAATCCAAAGATTTTGGGAATTTATAAATTTAAAACCCTTATGATTCAACTGGAAGATGAAAATAAGAGTAAAACACTGGAACCCCATTGTTTTTTAATTCCCAAAGCGAAGCGCCAAGGCCGATTTCACAGTAACATTTTAAACATCTTTTCACTCCAGCGCCAGATTTCAGGGATCCACTTTACGGACTACCATGTTTGGATCCGTTGGGTATTTTCAGGGCCTTAGTCATAAGCGTCATAAAACCTATGGGTTTGAACCCATATGTGTCCAATTTTTGTTAGGGCTGGACTAGGGGTGTAAATGATACATTAGTACTCGCAAGCTCTCGGGTTCGATTCGAAAAAAACTCGAATTCGGTCGATTATTGTCGAGTCGAGCTCGAAGCTCGAGTAGCTCGACTTACCGATCGAGCCGAATTCGAGTATTCTTATATCTGACTTGAGTAGCTCGCCGACGCTAATCGAGCTTTTATATTTAAATATATTTTTATTTTTTTTAATTAATAAAATATTTCGAATCCGAGTTCGAGTTCGAGTTCGAGCATGAATAATCGAACTCTTGTCGAGTATACGAATCGAGCTTATTTTTACATATTAATCGAGCTTAATCGAGCGAGCTCGAGTAGCTCGAATTCGATCACGAATCGAGCTCGAGCCGAGTATCGAGCCCCGAGTTGTGAGTCGAGCTCGAGCTCGAGCTTCTCACTACTCGGCTCGGCTCGGCTCGTTTACAGCCCTAGGCTGGACACCTTAAAAAGGAGTGAAAAAAAAATGAAAATTTTAAAAATTGAATTAAAATTATAATATTTGATTTAATTCAGATTAATTTTTATTTAATTTGGATCATCGAAAAAAAAAATAAATCAAATTATATATTTTTTTTAATTTTTATATATTTTTTAAATTTTTATAAAATAAAAATAATAATTGTATATCAAAAATTACTTAAATATATTAAAATAATATATAAAAATTAAAAAAATTAAAAATTAAAAGCCAATAAATTAATATGAATCAAATTGATAAAATTTGGCTCGATTTGAATAAAAGTTTGGTTCAGATTCGAAACGAATTTTAAATTTTTATAATATTATACAATATTTCAAAAAATTGAATCAAATCTAATTCGAACCGAATTGTTATCATTGTTATTTCTAACACTTTCAAAAAATAGATAAAAGAAGGAAAAGTACGATAAAAAGTAATAATAAATTAGTAATAGAGTTTTTTTTTTTGTTATAAAGCCACACTCATTTAATAAAAATTATTTTTTAAAAATAATTATATAAATTAATTAAATTAAATTTTAATAAAATTTGTATTTAATACATTATTAATGTATAAATCATATATAATGATATAGTCAATACAGCATATACTACCATTTTGTTAATTTATAATTTAAAAAAATTATAAGTCTTAAAAGATTAAATTGAAAAAAAAATTAATTATTTTTATTCAAATAAATAATTTTTTGTACTTATCTTTAAATGTTTTTAATTATATAAATTTATTAATTAATATAATGACATCATATAAAATATATAGAATATATAAATTTTATACAATAATAATAATATAGTTAATTCAAATCTAAGATGGTTAATTAAGTCAGTTGAGATACTGTGGTGAATATATTTTACATGATCAAATTGCAATGGTAATTTCCAAAAAGTAAGTGGAACCTTTATTCTTCTCATGATCTCTTCACATACAAGATAATCATATATAAGAATTTTCATGCACTTTACAAGAAAAGCAATCTCGATGTGGCAAAAATAAATCTGCTTAGTACCTACAAAAGGAAAAGGAAGGCTCCCATAATTTCGATAGAATATTTGGTCCCCACTGTTCTTCAAAGCTAAAGCTCACCATAGACTATAAAAGATCGATCTTCACCACTTAAATTTAATAATAATATAATATTCTTCTCTACCATGCCACCTCCTTTAATTAATTCAAAGCACCAATTTCGACAACCAAGAGAATATAAAGAAAGCAACATCACGGTAGCTCAATTCTTTGTGTCACGCAGCTTCTTCTTCTTTGCTCTATCGGGTAAACAAGCTATTAAGAACATTAAAAGGAGATCTCTTTCTCTTTATAATTCTTTGTAGGACTGAACTCTCCTGAGACATCCATTGTTGCATGGTCCCCTTTACGCTTGAATGCTTAACCCTTGGCCGTTACTACAGCTAATATCAACATATCTTTGGTTTTATAACATGCCTTCTTTTTACGCGTTTTCTATGTTTACTACGGATAATGAATAACGAAAAAGTTTGTAACCTGAAGTTTAAGTGGTCCTTGCAACAATCCTTAAGAGATGACAGGTTTGGGGTTTAAATCCCTTCTCAGCACTTAAAGTCCTTTTTTTCAATTTTCATACTAAAACCTTCTTTATTTAAGAAAATTCAGAAAATAAATAAATAAATTACAGTATACATAGCTGTTGGCATTTGTAGCTACTGTTAACATGACTTGTCTCTTCAGAAACCAGGACAGGCACTTTTGAATCTGCTTTGAATTTGATTCGGTCCACATTTAAAATTCTTTAAGTGATCTTTAGTTATTTCAACAGTTTAAAGGAGGAAACATGGTAATAGTCCTATCAGCATTCCTTTATGTTAAAAGCTTGCAGCCAGACTTATAAACTCATGCGGAAGACCTTGATTATATATATAACTGCAATTTGGAAAGCAAAGTACGTTTATCCCTTTTTTTTTTTTTTTATCACAGAAACTAAAATAACAAGCTTATACAACATCTTACCTCAACTGATGCATCCTTTTGCCTTTGATTCACCATCACCTAAGCCATGACCTCAGTTGAAAGTGGTAGCTTCTGGCAACGTTCCAAATCAAATTTAGATGATGGAATCCTGATAAAGAAGCTCCTCCTTAGCCATGACCCTGATGGCCGTCGCCTTGATTCTGAGATGCTACTCTCTGCAGTGGAGAACATCATGTTTTATGCAACTACATCAGAAGTACTAGTAACTTCCTGCCTGGTTACATTGTTACTCCGAATTTAGATGTTTACTCAGATGGCTTGCTTGAATACTTATAGTTTGAATCACAACGTATGAATTTTCAGAGATCCAGCCAAAGAAGTTTCAGGATATAGAATTTTGTATTTGTTCTTCATTTTGATAACTCTGTCAAACCCTTGAAATAAACTGAGCCAAAATGCTTTATAATGTGTAATATTCAAGAATTGACATATGATTTGTGGTCTGATCCCTTTTGTTTCGAATGTATGATGGGACTAATTGTCTTTTGGTATAAGGAATTCAAGTATGTAATTAATGACCTTGATCTTGTATTCCTGGCACAGGTTTCTGAAAATCCTAAAGAAGCAAATTTAAAGAGTCATATTAGCAACATTGAACTGATTGGATCACAAGAACCACTAGTGCATACCATCTATAAAATTGCACATGAGGTTATTCTCTCTCTTTTTCTCTAGTTCCCTTGCATTTAAAAATGTATTAATTTTCTTTTATTGTGATTGCAGATGCTTTGCAATTGCCCTGGTAAAGGAGATCTTCATACACGAGCGATGGTCTTGTTCGATTTGCTGGGAAATTATAGATGGGAAGCAAAAGTGGCATTAGCACTTGCAGCTTTTGCAACAAGCTATGGTGAATTTTGCCTGATAATGCAGCTACGCCCTCGTATCCCCTTGGCAGAATCAGTTGGAAATTTTAAACAACTTCCTAGTAACATAAGCATGTTGAAGCCTCAATTGAAGGCCTTAAGATTGCTTTTTAAGACAATGGTGGATTTGACAAAGTGCATTATCGAGTTTGAAGGTCTGGCAGTTGTACCTGTAGAACGGGATATTGAGAACCTAGCTGCAATGAAGTCTGTAATCTATGTTACCGCTTACTGGATCATTAGAAGCACCTTGGCCTGCTCTTCTCAAATCACAAACTTGAGGGCCATGAAACCTGAGCAAGTGCATGTTCTGACCTGTCATATAATCCAAGAAAATGCTGATTTTCCCTTTATATATTCTAATGATTTTTTCTTCAAGTATTGAGGCCACATAGTTCAAGTTTAACGACTCTGCTAACTTCAGTTACTTCTGCAGATATTCCAATATAATAATTGCGGCGTGGGAGCTCTTAAGTCTGGATTACAGGTTGAGCAGCATATACAGTCGCCTTAGGCAGTCGGTGGATGCTTTTCGTCAACAAACAGGTCACAGTCTGGATTGTTTAGAATGATTTGGAAGCCTTTCACTGATTACGAGAGTACATTTTTATGCAATAGTAATTCTGATACATGTATTTCTATTGTTTACAGAAGCAAAGCTGCAGCAGAAGCTGGTGAACCTTCTTAAGGAGTCCCATGTCGACAATGAAGAGGTGCTTCAGATGTTATTTTCTCTAAAAGATGACTTTCCACTTAAGGATTGTTTTGCACAAGAAAAGGTAAAGTTTTCTTACATCATTTAGTTATAATGAAGAAGAAATCATGGCGTTCTTCTTTCCCTTCACTCTAAAATGATTTCATTATTTGACATTTTATGATTGAAAACTCTGTTTATCTTAGTTAGCAACTCTTAGATTCATTGACAGTTACGTGTCTCCGAGTTGAAAAGCAAGGTTGTTCTCCTTTTGGTTTCCAAGCCAGATCTTCTTCCACTAGAGCAGTTGTTTTTTCTAGTCCACCAAACATATGATCATCCTCACAGAAAGAAGGTAGAAGGAAGTTACGCCATTATATGGGTTCCCATTTCAGTTTCTGATACATGGACTGATGCAGAGGAGAAATGGTTCAACTTTTTATCAAACTCAATACCATTTTACTCAGTTCGACAACCATGGTCTCTAAACTCTGCAGTGATTAACTTTATGAAACAAGAATGGAAGTATGGAGATGAAGCCATTATGGTAGTTTTGGATTCAGAAGGGACGATTACTAACTTGAATGCGCTTGATATGGTATTCATATGGGGTTCTGAGGCATATCCCTTTTCACTTTCAAGAGAAAATGAGCTGTGGGATGGGCAGCACTGGACAATGCAACTTATGACCAATGAAATTCACCCTATCCTTACTCAATGGGTAAGATACTGAACACCAACAAACACATCTCTTAATGCATATATATTAAAATAAACTTTTTTCTTTCGTGTTTTACTCATTGCTTTGAATTTATGTCAGGTTGAAGAAGGGAGAAATATTTGCATTTATGGAAGTGAAAACTTGGATTGGATTAGAGAATTTAGTGCAAAAATCAAAGAAATAAAGGATGCAGGTGTGCAGCTTGAGATGATATATGTTGGAAAGAACAACCCAGATGAACATGTAAAAGACATTTTAATCACAATCATTGGAGAAATACACAGCAACTTACTCTCTTTCACTAAGGTACAGCTCTTCTGGCTTCGTTTAGAGAGTATGAGAAGATCAAAATCCCGTCTAGGGAAAACTGCCAGTACCGATCATATTCTAGCAGAGGTGTTGGCCTTGCTGTACAACGATGATGACAACGGCTGGGCGGTAATTGGGAAAGGATTGTCGACAGATCTTGTAAGGGTTCAAGGGGGTGAAATCATTCAATGCTTGAATCTGTTTGGACAGTGGGGAGAAAATGTGGCACAGTTGGAATTCGTTGGTGCTCTCAGAACTGTCCTTGAACCGCCTCTCCTTGATGGGCCTTGCAATCACACAGAAGTTGTTACCTATTCTCAAGGATTTATTGAAGGAAGCATAGTATGCCAGAAATGTAAGCGGCTTATGAAGAAGTTTACCATCTATCAGTAATTGTAATAGAGATTTTCTGACTGAAATAACATTTGTTTAAAGGAATAATAGTGATTTAATCAGCACGTTCTATGATTATTTTTGGGGCAAAAAATCAGCATTGGAAATCTTTTATAAAGGAAGGAAAGGGGAAAAAGAGGAGTTACAGATCATTTTCTTCCTCTTTAAATGACTATAAGGGATTCAAGTTAACCAGCATAGTTTTGTTAGGATTAAAATCCTATTTTTCAGAAAGCTATAATAAAAAAAAGTGCAAAAAAATTATTTTTTTTTGAACTAATTCATCCTCAATATGTAATTCAAGTCCATTTTGCAACTATTGAAGAGTTTTTTATTACGGCGAAAGAGAGATTTATACTGTTATTTAAATATAACATAAATAAGATGATCGTGTATTTGTTCCAGACAATCGATGTCAGGATAATAATTAAACTCCATGCAACTCAACAATGCCCAGTAGGTCCTTGAAAATGTGAAAGACAAGCCCTTCCTAGTTTAAAAATGCATTCAACTACGAACATGGAATTAAATGTAGGTACGTACGCTACTTCATCTGCATTTCAGAAAGCATGAAAATTTTGTCATCTGTAAACTGCACGCTAACTTTGGAAGAAGGAAAAATATACTCTACTTAAGTAATTTCTATTACTGGACAAAACAGACCTAGAGATTTGTCAGTACATTTCAAAGGAATTAGATTGATATTGACGCATTATCCCGAGTTAAAATTTTTTTATTATTTTTATTTATCAATTTTTTTATAAAATTTATTCAACTAGAAAAAAGATAAAAGTTTTTAAAAAATTACATAAAAATGATACGTGGATATGACCAAAAAAAAAAACTCATAAAGGGTACTATAAGAACATTATAATTGAATTTAAAATATTAATTTTTTAAATTAAAACATCATATAATAATTTTATTAATATAATAGATATATATAAATATAAAATTAAATAATAATAAAACATATACTTTTATATATATCTTAAAATAAATTTGTACAAAACACTATAAACATGTATCCATCCAATATCGTATCTCATAAAAAACTCTACCTTTACCAACTCGATTTTAATTTTTTTTTTAAAAAAATTATCCATTACCAGATTGGGATGGATTGAAATCTATTAGATACTTATTGTTTTGTCATCTCTATTGATTGATTTTTTTATTATAAAATTTATCTAATTAAAATATATAAAAAATAAAATAGAAAAAAAAAGCCAAATTCATTGGTTCCTTTGTTGCAAAATTTATGTAACTAAAAAATTTTTTTTTGAAGTATAGCGTTGACACTTCCGTTGGATTTTTTTTAACAAATTTATCTAATTAAAAATATAAAATTTTGAAAAAAAAAGTTAACGAAAAAAGAAAAAATAAAACAAAAAAGAAAAATAAGGTGTCACATTGACACCTTAAATTAAAGATAAATAAAAATTAAAACGAGTAAAATTTACATGATGGATGAATGAATTACATTTTAATTATATATAAATATAATACTTTTATTATATTAAGATATTAATATAATAATATATAAATATAAAATAAAATAATTAATTAAAATATAATTATATATAATGGGGTAAGACAGAAGATTCTAAGCCACTCTAATCCAAACCGAATTTAAAAAAGGAAAAACATTGACTCAATCCCAAATTTTTGAAAAATCCACACGTATTGAATCGATCAAATTGAAAGAGATGTGATATGAGTTATTTTGTCATCTTTACATTTATTAATTTTTTATTACAAAATTTATTTAATTTAAAAAAATCAAAAACTTTTTTAAAACAAAAGAAATGACAAAAAAAAAAAAGAAAACTAAATGGGGATTGCACTTGCATTTATTAAATTGAGGTATTAAATATAATTTTATTAATGTAATGTATATATATATATAATTAAACGAATAATAAAAAAATATATTTATATATAATTGGGTAAGATGAAATACCTTAAACTCGTCTCTAATATGATTTAATTTTTTGAAAAAAAAAAAAACTTGATCTTATCTCAAATTTAAAAAAAAAAAAAAACATCTATAGAATTAAAAAATCAAAACTCATCAAATACAAGGTTATTTTGTCATACATGTTTCTCTTGACATTTTTCTTTAAAAATTTACTTGTCAAATTTTTATACAAAATTTATCTAATTAAAAAATAAATAACAAAAAAAGTGAAAGACCAAAAATCGAAATATGGTTATATGTGCACACATTTCTTGGCTTTTTATACAAAAAATGGTTTTAATGTAACAAATGAATAAAAAAAGACAAAGAGAAAAAAAGAAAGAAAATTGATCTGTCATGCTATATCAACAACGATGGGTTTTTTTTTTTTTTGAAATTTTATATCATGAATTTTAAAAAGTAAGAACAGAAAAAATGACTAAAAAAATTTTAAAAATCAAATTTGAATGTAACATTGACACTTTTGTTAATATCATTTTCTTTAAAAATTATCAAATTTAAAAAAAATAACCAAAAGATATATATATATATATGTATATATGTTTTGAATAATAATATCAGACTGGCTTATATTTAAAAATTTTAAAATATTAAAAAATATTCATTAAATATAAAAAAAGTAAATAGAAAAGAAATAAAAAAGTAAAAAGTAAAAAAAAAATCAAATGATTTGATTTGTGATATACTCTTAATATAAAGTGCGTCAAAAAAATAAAATCTAAAAAATTATTTGTTAAATAATAAAAAAATAAAAAATAAAAAATCCATGTGCATACCATTAATATTGAGTAAGTCTCAAATAAAAATTTAAAATTTAAAAAACTATTTATTAAATTTTTATATAAAAAAATAAAAGAATGGTAAAAATAAAGTAAAAAAAATGGTATAAGTGGATCCTACACACAAAAAAATAAATTTTTTTAAAAATATTTATTTTTTATTATTTTTAGAAAAATTAATTAAATATAAAAAACCCAAAAATAACAATAAATTAACAATAAAATCAAATGGGACCCACATCAATTTATTTTAAAAAATAAGATAATTAATTAAATACATATAAAAAACAAAAGGAAAATAAAAATTAAATAACAAAAAAGAAGAAATGAAAAATAGAAAAAGAAAAAAAAAAAAAAAAAAAGGAAGATGATTGTGCCACTTGGTACATTTATGTGTAGGTCAAAGGGTAAGTCAAAGTTAATAAAATTAATAATATGGATTTGTTTAATAATGTATATTGATAGAAAAATTTTTCATCTTCTCAAAACTTTCCGTTTATGATCAGCATATTCCAGCGCTGTTGAAAAGACATATTCATTCTTCCAGATAATCTAATAAAGGTTGCCCTGCATCACCCAGTGGCCTGAATCAAATCTATTATACTTTCCTATGTAGCGTGAATTTCAACCCTTGAGGGCTTGAAGCCTTTAACTTAGACGCCAAATCTTTTTTTCCCTTTCTTTTTCTCTTCTTCGTTATTGCAGGCGTCTAACTGTGATTAAGCTGACAGGTTCTTTTGCTTGTCTGTGCAGTAGATGGATGCCTTATGGCAACTGCTTTGTCAGGCTTTTTCTTTCTGGATTCCACGTTGTAAGGAAAGTTATTTACCTGACAGAATAAATTTAGGTGGCTAATCTTTAATAAAGTTATTCCTGGCAAATCAACATTCTGCAGCTCCTTGTAGCCTTGGGAATTCTCCATCTTCAAGCCCTATAACTTAAGAAATCTTTAATATTTAAATTCATTATCAAGTAACAAATCAAGATTTAACAGCAAATTATATATCAAAGGATATCAGAATTGTTTTGAACGGTACATATCATATACAATTTTTTTTTTACTACAATCCTATAATTATTCAATCACAACAAAAAATTAAATGCACCCCTTATAACTATGGATTTCATATAAAATTTTGATTAACCCCACACAATTCTAAATTAGCATTGAGCTGTTGAGGCGGAAAAATGTGCTACTACTAATTTACAACTTGAGCACCCAGATCAAGAGCTTCGTATTCTCGATCATGCTTATAACAAATCAGGAGTGCACTCAGAGAGTCAGTACGAGGTGATTTGGATCCCAATTGTAAACAGATCCACTCCATTTGATGACACAAAGAGAAAGCAATTTGAGTCTCTACATGCAACCATGCCATGTTACTAAGTTGGTCATCATTCCATGATTGAACCAGCGGTGATGAGGTTCATTTTGTTACCGATATGATTTCAATCAAATGTTGTTCGTTTTCTCCATTTTGTTTTCTCAATTAGGTAATTTATATTTTATCAAGAGCAACCTAGTCATATATAGCAGAACTAACCAGGCAAACTCAAAATCTCTAGCTTTAAAGATCAGTCTACAAGATTCATAACCTATTATTTATGCTGTTGAAAAAGCTCATATTCATTCTTCCATATAAACTATATATACAATCCAAAATCAATGTAACACTGAATCTGCTCAATTTTAAAAGTCAGAAAGAAGATGAAAAATCAATAATGATCAGTCTACTTGTGCGACCCTTGCCTTGCATCATCTGACACCTAGATCAGATGCAATTCAAATCTACTATCTATGTACTACCCCCAAAGAATTTGAATTTGCTGTATTTTTTTTCTTTTTTTTTTTTTTAATTAAGAGTGGGCTCCCTACAGACCACCGTGATCAAGTTGAAGTCTTTTTTATTTTTAATCAAAGCAGTAGACGCGACCTTAATTATACCAACGTCTACGGGCTTTTTCTTTTCTTCTCTTTATTACTTGACACTGCCAGGCTATAAAGCTGCTTGAAGTCGAATGCATCCTTATGTTTTTTTTTTATTTAAATTAATTTAGGATTAATTTAGATGAGCAATAAGATTGATTTTGGTGTGATTAGAATTAACAATAACAATAAAATTAATTAATGTAGTTAAGAAATTAAAATCAATGTGTTTAGATGCAAAATGACAAATATGATAAGATAAATTGTAATAAACAATTATTAAAAATATTAAATTAAAAATTATGAATAATAAAAAATTTAAATTATTTAATATATAATTTATT